AAAGTAATACATTTTAATTTTTTAATAAAATTTTTAAATTTTATTAAAACTGAACAATTTCTACAATTTAAATTAGTTCCTGGAAATTAATTAATTTTCTAAATACCACAATCTTTCTGTTGAATAAAATAATACAATGATAACTACAAATCACAACCATCAATCCTGCTCCTATTACTACTTCTATTTTTGATATTCCTTTTTAACTGGATATATGATGCAACATGATCCTTTGTCTTTCTTTTTTTTGCTTTGTTTTCATCCTTTTTATCCGATATCTTTTGCTTTCTTATCGGATACGGTATTGATCCCAAATTATTCTTACACAATGCCTCAGTGGAGAGCGGTTGTGTTTCCTACTTCGTTCTTTTTTACTTTGTTTTTATTCTGGATGCAAATTGGGTTAATTGATTGTCATCATTTGACCCATTCCACTCAAAATCCAATCAATGGTAACCAAATGGTAACAAATACCATCATAATACTTGTGAAAATTTTTGCTTTTTTTCCCCTTCGCATATTTCATAATATCATAATGTTACCATTAGTTGATAGTAACTTTTATTCCTTAACTCATCCTTGATACAACCAATATCTTGCACCCAAAAAAAAAAAGAGAAAATGACGAGTATGGATCTGTTCCTTTACCTTAGTTGCTTTGCGTAATTAAATCTAAAAAATAAAACAATAATTCTTAACTACTTATGTTGATGATTTTGAATAACTGAATTTTTCCCTATTCTTTGTTCTTTCTCGTTTTGATGAGTGATATTTAAAGCAAACTTGCAATTACTTCATATTTCCATCAGATGGAAGATTTTATTGTGACAGAATGCTAAGAAATTCTTTATTCCATAATAGCCAGTAAACGTGCCCTTATTAACTGTCAATTATATGTTATAAAGTCAACATTTTTTTTTAAAAAAAATGGTAGGCGAAATTCTTTCACTTGTTGCACAATCCAGACTTGACTGAACACTTCTTGGTATAACAATCATTGTTCTTCTTGCATGGTTCGCCAAGCTCATATATAAGCTCTTTCAACATATTCCCACTAAAACTTTGCTTTGTGAGTGAAATTAATGAAGTATGGAGTGTTTCCGATCAGTTCAATATGGCATAAATGAAAGGGAAATTATTTAAGATGGATATTTTCTTGAAATGCTAGTTTGAATTACATCCTCTGACAATAATACAAAAGCTTACGCTGGCGAATAATGGCAAATGACCATTAGTGTCCTGCCACCATCGCAGTTTGTAGCAATACCACAGCCAATTTTGTACGTTTTACCCCAAGCCATCTGGAAATAAACGTTACAAACAAAATTTACAGTAGTCTATCCCCTGATTATATAGGTCATCCAAATTAATATTCAACTTTACCCTTTAGGTCAAGGTTGAATTTCTAGAATTGCTCCAAAAGCAAACAAAAATTTTAGCATAAGAAATGATTTGTCACATCTTGCTTGATAAAAATCAAGAAGAAAAACCAATCAATCTTTGCCTTCATGCTAAAATAAATGTTGGACTGAGCTATTGTACTTTTTCGAATACTTTTTTCGAGATCTCATGAATTTATGCTTCATCTCATGAATTTACCCTTTCTCAACTGTTAGCCGTCCACCTACTATCTCGAGTTTAGGGTGATAAGTTGGAAAGGCATTACACTTTAAGCTTGTAATCAACTGAAGTCTCTGACATTTCTTGAGTATGACACACCTTGCAGCAGAAATATCAGTTGACTTATATATGCAAAAATATTACTGAATGCCTTCGAAATTTTTATTTGAATGTGAAGTGTAGCATGATTTATTCGAATTTGAAACATTTTTGGAAAATATCGAATGGATTGAACTCTTCCTATAAAATTTCTTTTACCTGTGTGAAATGCAAAACACCTTGGCTGGAAACTTGAGCAGTCAAATTATTTGAAGGATTAGATCCGTACCGTTCCGGAAGTTCTGACCACCAATTTTTACCAGCATCTGTACCAGCAGTTTTTCTATGACCTGGAAAGAAGATTTCATTTTATGAACTTCATCATTTATTTATTTTTTGATTTCTAATATTTCGCTTATCGAACTTTCGTACATGCTAAAGATGTATCTCTATCAAGAAAGTTTTTGAACTTCAGATGATGTAAATATGCGTAAATGAACCTTCAACGCTTCCTGATGACCAGTAAGCATAGACATTTTCACCGATATTGTTTCTTTGATCTCTTGGTGAGTGTCCAAAGATACATCTATCTGCCCATCTCTGCGCGGAATATTCCAGCGAACAACTCCATCTCTGAACGAACATTCGGGAAATTAGTAATTAATGATTAACATTAGCACTGAAAAAAAAAAATACTCTCCTTTCAATCTAATCCTTTCAATACGTTTGAAAAATTATTCAATATCTCTACCATTCTCAACATATTCTTGCCACGTGGCATAAATTCACCAGCTTTGTTCTTAAGCTCGCCACGGATCAGTTGCGAACGGAATTTATTATTTTGAATAACGATTGCTTTACGTTGCTCCGGTGTTAGTCGACCTCCTTGACATCGATAACCTTCCACAGCTATAACAGCTTAATTTAGTCATCACTTTTCGAAATTAAATCAACTATCAATTGTTTCTTAACAGATAGTCTTAATACTACCAGTTAGCTTTCGAATGTTTGGAATTTATGGTCTGAGAGAGTATCAATTCTCATTTAACATACCAATGATAATTGCTGCAAACATGAAGGAACATAACATTTTGCCGAATTTTCGGATAGATTGTATGCCGCTAATCTCAAATATATTTGATAATGGAAGATGACTTTTGGCAAATATGTGGTGAAGTAAGCGATGATTTGCTAACTGAAATTTTTACCCTTTCTGATTAGCTTTTATGCAGTTTCTAATCAACTTATATTAATGACAACATGGAACTTCTACCGTTTGCTTTCCACAAGCTGCTCAGATATTTTTCAATTTTCTATAAATCGAATTATTGAGACAGCTATGCAAATATTTGCTGCAATTTTCTTTTTTTTTATTTATCCATTTTCTTTTCATTATTTTATTTTTTAGTTTTTTTGGATTTTTTTTTACCGAAAGTAAACTTACGATAATATACAGTATGCAGATAACTATATGGTTCCGCATCCCAAATTCAGACTAAAAATTATCTAGTATGACTGAAAATTGCCTGATAAAATCATTTTTCTACGATATTATCAGTTTGTACACAACATCTTTACAAAAATACTGCTTCGTAATCCATGAAGAATATTGTTGAATACTTACTGTAATCTATTATACTTTACTCTTTCTAAAAGAAAATTAAACGCTTTCGAAAACTGAATCATTTCAATTTGCCATTTTTACCGAAACAGTCATTAATTCAGTAAATTCCACCTAGTTATCAATATATAATATTTCAAATTTGTTATGTTGATTTGATATAAATGGAAAATATTTGACATTTTAACAAATTCTTCGATATCATCCTTTTTTTCTTTCAAAAACATATCTATTAAAATTTCAATTGTTTATAGAAATTTTTTATCGAATTAAAATTTGTTACGAAAAGATATGCCGATCAGACGTTACATTAAGTTTTCTTCTAATTAATGCTAATATACGTATCTGCGATATATTTTCATTTAGAATATAAATTGGCGTATATCATAACCGAACTTTTTTATGCTATCCCCAAACTTCCGTTTTTTTTTTAATTTTAGACTTTTTTTTCGAGACAAAAAAAGGGAAGGAAATCAATAAATAATTACACCAATCATTATTCTGCCATTCATTTATTCATATCAGTGATTAAATTATGCTCGGTTTTTTGTCATAATTTGTCAAATATTATTCTAAATAAGACTATTTCATCCATATCACTTTCATTATCCCTTTATTAAATCCTTCATCACGACAATTTCACTATCTTCTAACATATATTTCAGCATTCTTGATGCTATTCGGCATTCGAAAATGCTTTCCTTCATATATTCACATAAATGCATTCAGATTCCGTCCAATATGTTTGTTGAAATACGGCAAATTTTACGAAATTATAAAATTGTAAAATGTCCTAAAATTATTATTATAAATGAAGTGGTCAAAGGCTATATTTTTGACCAAATCATACTTTTTTCTTTTTCAATAGATTTTCTTTTTAATTTTTATATACTTTTCAGTGGTAATACGTATTGAAAAGCGAACTTTGATGGAGGCCGAAAATGAAATTGAAATTTAAAAGTGAGGTTTTAATCTTTGGGTTTAATGCTTGTTTCATTATTTCAACTACAATTCTGTTTTCCGGCGTGATGTTTCTGTTCACATTTCAAACATCCTTTCTTTTCAATTATTCATTTCCTCTTTCCTTGGCTACGAAAGAATTTTAATGTTCGATTTATTTTTTCCTTTTAATCTTAAAACGAAAAGTAAAATCACTTTGATAAAAAAAAGAAGAAACATCGTTACCCTTATTTTCCATTATCAACGTATAAAAATCGCTTAACATTTCACTCTGAAATCCATTCATAACAATGCAAATCAAACATATTTTCTCTTTAAAAGTTGACTTTTAAAGAGAGTCGATGATTACAACTTTTAAAGAATAGATTGTTGGATGAAAGATTTGAAATAGCCATAAATATTTCAAGTCATTAGCATTCGAGTAAAAAAGGAAATCCCAAATAAAACTGTTTTTCATGCCGTATCCGTTATACCGTATATTGAATTGGTATCCAATGATAAATCGTTCGTTCGATTTTTGCTTGTTTTTTCATCGTTTAATTTCATTTCCTTCCCTAACTGCTTTGATTCTCCAGAAGAATGAAGGTCTTAGACTGATCGAGAAAGGCGGAAGTAATATTTCAGTGACATCATCGACACTAGCTAATTTTTTTCCATTATTTTTATTTTGGATATAAATTAGTTAATTTATTGTCATCATTTTACTCATTCCGTTCGAAATTCAACTAATGGTAATCAAGTGGTAAGAAGTATCAGCACAATAGTCACAATTTTGTTTGCTTATTTAATTCATGTACTTCACTATTACTGCATCGTACTTCCGTTCACATGTCCCATAATTCGTTGAAGATTTTGAAATAGTTTGGAAATTTTTTTGGCATTAAATACTTAACTGATAACTTTGCAAGGAAGTCACATATCTCTGCAATTTGATATCTATTAAAGACATCAGTCTTTACGCTAGTTTTTACTTTGGTAGAAAAATACCACAAGCTCAAATATACGACGAACAGTTCAAAGAGATCGATTACCAAAAAAAAAAGCCTTCCAGCATATAGTATCAAAGTTATCGAAGATGGCGAACATATTAAAAGTCTGATGTTTGTCAGTGAATTTAAATGAAATCTAGAAAATTTCGGTACACTTCGTTGTTCTCTTGCTACAATGAAATAATGAATTAGCGGGTTCGTCTACAATGTGGTCTGAAGGTTTCTGCAAATTTAGTTAAAACCATCATAATTTTTATACTTTTTTTCTGAGTTATTGGTGAATTTGCACGGAGTAAACATTATTTAGCATGAAAGAGGGACGAAACTGATCTGAGCTTTATGGTATATTTGCTGTACAACTCGCAAATCTATTCGGTTTTCATTTTTTGATTTCATAAAGCAATCGTAGATCGTAAGATTCTGATAAGCGATATATAATATTTCTGGAAAATTAAATTATCAAGCTATTTCCGTTAATCTGAATAATCACAACATCCAAATTCATTAAGTCTAAATTTCATTCATTATAATATATGTCGTGAAATAGTAAAGACTGCCAAATAATTTATCGAGTTCACTGGTTGGGTAATCAAACTCCAATCAAATCTATCCAAATGAAGCGCTTAGTGCGAAAGTGTGTCCGGAGGTCGATTTGTCTTGTGAATACGCAACAGTAAGGAATATTAACGTGATTTATCGTGATAAGAGATTGATAAAAATCCGCCAATGTCCGTAGAAGCGAAGAATAAACAGAAGAAGTCGATAACCTTCGAAGAGGGGAGCAGCTCCAAGCCTTTTCGCCCGGATTTGGGACCGAAATTATATATGTTAAGAAATGGGAGTGGTTTACATGAAGAATTCAAGTATCGGAAACACACCGGATATGGTACAAGCGTTATGACAAGATTAAACAGAATGATTGACATGGGAAATTAAGGGTTTAAACATAAAAATGCAAATTGGTTAGATAACAACAAAAAAATGTGGGAAACAATTTTAAGGAATATAAATATGTTAAGAGTGATTCATAGTATCATTAGCACTAATTTACAATGTGAATGAATTTATTTGCGGTTTCGTTTTCACGACAATATGTGTTTGAACTTTAATTCCCGCATTTTCCACTAGAAAAAAAACGAAAATATTCCTTTTAAGCAGAAACTAACCGGAGGTTATCATACAGTAAAAATTAGCTATATTTAACATGCTCCCAATTTTTTAGCAGTAACAGCTACCTTTTTAACTCTTATCTCAATAATGTATTTGACATTAACTCTCTTCCGGGAATTTTTTTTATGGTGCCGAAGATTAAACCATATCAGAGAATAAAATTGTTTGAGATGAATAAAACTGGAAATATATTATTGAATGGATTTCAAAAGATACAATACTATCCCGAAAGATTGGACTATAATATCTGGAATTCTAATAGAAATCGAAGTAATATAAGGATTAGATTTTACACAACAAGCTGATACATAAACTATTGGTTTTTTATCCGATCAAACAGTGCTCCATTTATAATGCTCAATTTTCAAATAACCATTTTTCTTATATCATTTCAATTCTTGCAAATATTGGGAAAAAATTTTATTCGGTTTCATAATTGCTAAATTTATTTTTCACAGAGATTTGACGTTTTATTTCGAAAAGTAAGTAAAATAATAAATAAAATAATCTTTCAG